GCCTTCCAGCTGATCCACACTCCCCCCAACTTTGCATCATCTGAAAACTTGCTGATGGTGCACTTAATCCCCTCATCCAAATCATCAACAACATCTTTAATATCTATTAAAGAGCACAGTGCCCAGCAATGACCCCTGAAGAACACCACTAGTCATAGGCCGCCAAGCAGATGCGGCACCATTCACCACCACTCTCTGGGCCATCCAGCCAGTTCCTAACCCAGCACAGAGTGCCCTGTCCAAGCTGTGGGATGCAGCTTTTTCAGGAGTATGCTATGGGAGACAGTGTCATAAAACTGACAACTTGCTAAAAATAGTTCTTGCTGTTTAAACTTTATAAAGGAATTGGAAAAAGAGAAAATATTATTATTTTGACAGTGTTGGCATTTTAAGAGAAACTTATTCTGTTGGTTTAATCATATTTCTATTTGAAAGACATTTTCATTAATTTCCATTGTTTCCATTAATTTTTCATGAACAAATGTCTCTTAACATAGATTCATGACCTGCTGAGCTAATTATTGAATGTTATTGACATTCAGAGGATGATAGTCAGAAATTTTGAACACAAAACCCTCTTCTTGTGTATCTGAACACAGATGAGAAAAAACATTCGTATAAATGACCTTCCCAATCTGTCTGTTTGTACTACCATAAAATACCAACTTCAGTGTTTATTTTTACCAGCTATGCTTGGGCAAGCCCTGAGGAGCCTGACAAAAGCATTTCAGGGCTACATACTGCTTATGTTACTTCCAAAGCAACACTATTATACAGCTCTTTAAAAAGTGAATATTTGTGTAACCAGTGGACAGGAACTGTATGGGTCAGGGACCATCAAAACAGAGCTCAAGACAACTCATTTGGTATGTCTGTAGTAGTTTTTCAGGTCTGGATTATTTCACCCTGTCATACCTAAGCTCAGCTCTAAATCCTTCCTAACAGCCTACATTTTCAAAACTCTTACAGAAACTAGCTACTAACAGGTTTACAATTTAAAGATGAAACATCATAGGAAATACTATTGCCTGAATATTAACATTACATTCCCTCATGCTCCAGTCTTAATGAAATGACACCACTGAAGGAGTTACTGTATGAGAATGTAGTAGAAGCTGACAGAAAGCAAAAAGAAAAAACAAATCTTACCACAAACTTCAGTACAGTGTCCAATTGTTAGGATAATGCTGATTTTTTCTCCTGTATTCAGGGTCTCATCAGACAGCAGCTTCAGCAGCTCTGACACCGTGTGGTACTTTGCCAAGACTACACCCACGGAGGCTGTTAGGTTAAAAACCATTTGAAGAAAAATGAACTAGATAATAAGTATAGAGGCATCATCCAAGTATGAAATGCTGTTCTTCAAGGGAGCTCCTCAGACCTCCCAAAGCCTTGGGTCTGCACAGCCTTCACCTTCTCTATCCTTCACTTAACACTTCGGATTACCACATCCCTCCTGGTTCAGTAGTTCTGCCCATGCTGCTCCCGAATCCCACACTGCCCTTTCCCCCAGACATCTATGGAGATGGGGTAGAAGAGATGATAAACAAGGCCTTTGCAACGTGCAAATTTTGTATATCTCTGCAGTTTCCTTCTCCACATCCTTTATCAGCTCCAGTATGGAGCAGGAAAGAGTAGAATAAGGCTTGACACAAAACAAGCTAGGAGTATTTCTGGGAGAGGAAAACCTCTTCCTGAAACTGGGAACACCAGATGCTGAAGCCTGATCCTGTAACATACCAACTCATTGGAAACTAGACTCCAAACTAGTGCAGGTGAATGGTTTTAAACCTGTGAACTTCCACTAGTGAGCCCTGATGGCAGAAGTCTCCAGTGCAACAACCACGGCACAGATACATCAGGATCACAGGTTTCTCCAAACCTTCTGATGGAATACACAGTGATAGGACAGCACTGCCCAGACAGCAAATCAGAGTACAGGTGTGTTTTGCAGACACACCACATTTGTTCAGCTCCACCTCTGAGTTACTAAGGTCTACTAAAGCTCACTAAATTTATTACTGAGTCAGAGGCCAAATTCCAGGACCCAAACTGACTGCCCTGCTCAGTTCTCAGCTTTACTCACCCAAAACTAGCTCCAGCAGCTTACTTTTTATTTAAAGTATGGTTTAAATGTCACTATGTTTATTTTAGAAACAATGGGAAAGTAAACCCACCTTAGCTGACCTGAAGCACTCCCCATATGCAACATCAGTTGGGATGTCAATAACCTAAGTGCCCTTTGCAATCATTCATGTAACTTTCCCACCAAACTAGACTTTAAAAACTGCATTTTAAAATGACCATATATATATAAAAACTGTTAGCAGCCCTGTCACTCACAGTTATTAGCAATGCAGGCATCCAGTGTCTTTGTGACTACTGCTGCAAGCTTTCTGCTCAAAGGACTCACACAGGAATGATGCATAAGCTCCAAGAGAACTTTGGCTAACGTATCCAATCCTCCAACAGAAACAAAATATTTCTGCACATATACTTAGTGAAAAAAAGAAAAAATATGTCTTATGCAGTACAGTTTGCAAACTACTTTAGCATTTTATCAGTTAAGTTCATAATCCTTACCATTCCACCCATCCAACAGAAGCTGAGGAGACACTCATCTCAAGAAATGCCCAATACAACCATCAAATGGCAAACATTGTGTCTGAGTTCTACCTAAGTCATTATTTTCAGAGATGTAATAATGACTTTTATTTGTAAAGGACTTTTAATCAAAACAGCTTCCCAACAGTTCTTACAGACCTTATGAGATGTGAACACTCTGTGGCTATTTGCAGACTCAAGCACAATGCATCATAAGGAAAGATGGTGGAATACAGTTTTCAGAGTTGGGAGAATAGCAAATTAATTTGTACAGATTCACCAAAAAAACCCCAAACATTTAACTACTGGCTTGAACTTACTTTTAACAAAAGTAAAACTATGTAAAGCTTGAGCCACACTTACAGTTATTTGCAACTGTGAGACCAACAAAGGAGCAAATGGGACGAACTATCTCAGGCTCTGTGCAGCTCTCCAGCCACTCCTTGGCATATGGGAAAACCGAACAGCAAATGTTTTGGTTATCTTCTGGAAACATAAAAACAGGTATCCCCAAATCAGAATGTAATTTGAAATTTCAGGAGAACAGTGAAATGAAACCAAACTGTTGCCACTTTGGACAACAACTGTGAAGTGTTTTCACACTGTTAGGAGCAGCACATACCATTCTGGGGGTTGTTAACGCAGGCACAGAGAGTGCTGCAGACTGAGGACCACAGCTGATAACACTGATCAGTGTTCTCATCTGACAGGTTCATCTTGGACATGGAAAGAGTTGTTCTGTTAAGGACAATGCAAACAAGTCCCAAAGAGCCAAGGAAACACAACTCCTAACAAGTCTATCACCTGTTGGCAGTGCAGCTGTCTGTTACCTGAATAACTGCAGCAGCACGGTGATGCAGCCTGTCTCTCTGACATGGGTTTGCCCACTTTCTAAAAGAGAGCACAGACAAGACTCCAGAGACAAATGCAGCTTGAGACCAAATCTTAATGCCAAGTTTAATTCATATACACACATCCCATTTCCATTCCCCAAGCACATATCCCCCCACAGCAAATATGAAATCACATCAACATATTGGTAAAAAGTTCCATTTCTTTCTATGTCTTTTCCTAGACACTGTCAGAAACTACTGGTTTGCACTGTCATTTTTAAACTATATTTTTAGAACTAAGTCACTTTCTGCTGTTCGAGGAAATCCCAGTGAGCAATGACCTACTTAGACAACTCAGGTTCAGTTACTTGCAAACATCTATCTTGATAAATTAACTTTACCATAACATTAGACATTGAATGCTCCAAATTTTGCACTGCAGATTAGCAAATAGAAAGAAGTGGTGTTATAATGCAGGAAAAAATCCAACTTACTATTATTTGAAACCAGTACCAAGATGACATAAACAGACATTCTCTTCAAGTTCACACTAGAGTCCTTGTCAATTAAAAATAAAATGAGGTCTTCAAACAATGCAGAAGTACACAAAGTCTGCTGGCAATACACTGAAAACAGAAAAGGAGAGCCATTGAGTGCTAAAGGAAGCTGCTCATAATCCTAAACTCTTAAGTCTCAGTTGTGGCCACTGTGTGGGGAGTGGAGACAAAACAGGACTACGAAATGACTGAGAGCTTCCTCCTGTGTTAGTTCTACACCAGCCAGGGCCCGGGCAAGCGTTGGGACAGTCTGTGTGCCATCAAGCACTTGTTGCTGAGGAGAAGCAGCAGTGCAGCTGTCTGGTAACACACAGACACGCACAAAGCAACAAGGTCCAGCATCCAAGCAAAAGCATCCAAGTCCAGGGATGGCCAGTGGAACAGCCCTTTACTGCCCCTTGCTCCAGCTGATCTTGCAATCTGATTTCTGAGACCAAAGCACCAGCAGAATTAATGACATGGGGCCATAACTCACACAGAAACACAAGTAATATGACTTATTATTACCATTGCTCTCTATAATAACCCCCAGCGTGAACAATGCTGCTTCCTTCACTATGCAATGAGCACTGGACTTTGCAAGGTCATTTATAAACATCAAACCACCAATTTCTCGAAAATATTCACTTGCTTCACCTGCAACAGAGAAAAAAGCATAAATTAAACTTTTGCTTTTGTTGCTTTGTACAATGAAAACCTTTCAAGATATCACAATGTACAGTGAAAGCCTTCCAAGATATTACAACTTCCCAAAGCTTATATCCTTCAGTCAGCTTTTTACAGTGACCAACAGCTTCTTACCACACACAGGGAACATAAAGGACTAAGGAAAAATGTCTCTTACTGTTCTGTTGACAAATGGAATAAATAGTGATCAGAGCCTCTTTCTGAGACAGAGGACAGTCCATCTGATATTTAAGGCATTCGAGCAGTAAATTCAGGTCTGTTTTCATATCTAAGAGCAAACACAATAAACTTCATGAAAATTGTTATCTTTTCTATACATTAATCTACTTAGTATTACAATAAACCTGGACAAAAATGTATGTACCTGTATTTAAAAACAAATAAAGTGAACAAAACCAGAGCCAAGCCACTTCTATCCGTCCATAAGTAACAAACAGACCTAACCTAAAAGTATTCCTGTCCATAGTTTGTATCTTAGCATGATTTCCTTTGTTAAATTCACAGCCTCTTCTAATATTTCTGGCCTTTGAATAGTAGTAACAGTTAGTAAACATCACTAAATAATAAATTTACAATTGCAAGGTGCATTAGGCATAAAGTAATACAGGACCATTAAAACATTCAGAGTGAAAATACAGTTGAAAATCTACAGAGTGAACAGGGCAAGAATCCAAGAGCATGAGGCTGCTGTGTGGTGTTGGGTTATGGGAGATGGAATCCCATCCACAGCAGCAGAGTCTGGAATCAGGTGGTTAGTGAGGGCACACAAAGCATTTTCTGGGCTTATACACACAACCCTAGGGAGATGAACGACTTGGGAAATCTGTTTCTTAGTCTTTGTGATATAATAAAAAGAACTATTTGATAATTATTTGCAACAGTAAGAGCAGATATTGTATATTATAAACACTTCTAAGGTTTGGGGTTTCTTAAGGAAGTTTGAATACAGTAAAAATGTGGGTAAATGTAAGCAAAGCAAAAAAAAAAGTGACTTTGTGGTGTGTGATTTATTATTTGAAAGGTTTTTCAATAGGTTTGCCCTTTAGGCATCCAATTTGTCAGCAAGGACAAAGACCATGTTCCCCTCAACAGCTCAGCACCCCAAGGCAGCCCTGCCACAGTTTCCAAACCTTTGTACAACAAATGACAAATTCTATGAGGTATCTTACCACACTGATTTTCTTGCACCTTTTGAATTTCCATTTTTGGTTGTATCTCTGTCTTGTTCTATAGCAGCAGGGAAAGTGTTTTGGTTTCTGTTCAGATTAGCAGTGTTATAGCATATGCAGTAAAAATGACATCACTTTTCTCAAAATGCACTCGTTCCAGTTCTGTGGTCTGACTCTGTCACCTCACACACACACAGTTCAAGGTGCTCTGGCACAGCAAAAGTTTCTATGGGAAATACAGTGCTTTATAATGACTCTGCATTTGTAACCACTGTGTTCTCAGCCTTTGAAAGTTCAGACTGAGTAGAAATGAAGTGATTCCATGTTACCACTGCAGGGTACCATGAACATCCCTGGCAGTAAGAACATACCCTTCTCTGTGCCACTGGTCACAATAAAACTGACCCAATTTTCCTGACAACAGTTGCTAACTTTGGCATCAGCCACTAAGTAATGTTACATAGAGGGTGAACACTAAAACCTTCAGCCTCCTGCTGCTGCTCAGGGAGCCACTAAACCATAATGGAATTGCTCTATTGGTGCTGATCAAACCAAAGGCAATGAGCATGAACAGAGACATTATTTCTTAAACTAAGAATTTATTGTAGTTCACCAAAGACATTATCCATGTGAACCACAAGACCCCACAGGACTGATTCTTCACAAACCTGATGTGCCAGCACCTGACAGTTAGCTGAGCAGCAGTGACAGGCAGGTTTGGAAGCAGGAAGATGCTCTCTCAAACATGCCCCAAGTCCCAAACACAAAAGGCTGATGCATCACAGTAATCTACTTTGATGTCTCAAAAATGATTTAGCTCCAGGTAGCAATTCTAAATCAGTGCTAAATGCAGCAGAATAATGGGTTAGTTTTCTTTCTCAAAGCAGAGCAAAGGCTCTAAGCAGTATCAGTGTCACCTTAATGCAGCCAGCCAGCCCTGCTTTCCATTTAGGCACAGATTGTCCCCCATTCCTTTGCTGCTTGCATTGGGGAGGGGAAATTTAAGGACTTCATTTTCCTTTACCATTTCAGAAGTGATAACATGGATGCACTTTGTTTTCTTGCACATCTAACCCTGCCACAACAGGGAAAACCTTGCAAGTCTTTCTCAGCCATTTCTTCCCCTATTACTACCACCCTACTAGCTAAGAGCAAAGCAAGTACCACCTGCATGTTCCTTCACAAAAGGAAGGCTGTAAAAATGAGCTCACTCTGGAGCTAACTGCGTTTCAGTGAGGTTTAATTAAACACACATTCATACAATTAAGAAGCCCTTAATATAAGAAGCGCAAGGGGTTTGAAACTGTATAGAAAGATACGTCTCGACCTTACCTGGCTTTTTTCCTTTTGCCACCTACAGCAGGTACAAAGCAGTATTTATAAGTCAGCCTACCTGAAAGACAAGTAGTGTCACTGTTGTTGCATCACGGGGCAAAGATGAAACGACAAACAACAAGGAAAGCTTCTGGCAAATGTCACATGCAGGGCAGTTTAACCCTTCCCCATGGGTTATGGGGAATCACATCCCTTTAAGCCCCCCAGACACTGCAGGCAGAGAGCAGAGCTACCTGCCCGGCAGCACTGGCTGTAGGGGCAGAGCGGCCAGCCCGGGACACAGCCTGGAGCCCGGGGCACTGCTGGGCCTGGAGCCCGGGACACAGCCTGG